AGTATACTGCTATTTTACCAATAATTACACCCCTCGAACGTACCTCGGACTAACTGATAACCGTTTTGAACAGTCTAAGATGAGTGTGTATTGGTCTCCGTTACGGTAAGACGTTCAGTATACTGCTACTTTACCAATAATTACACCCCTCGAACGTATCCCGGACTAACTGATAACCGTTTTGAACAGTCTAAGATGAGTGTGTATTGGTCTCCGTTACGGGAAGACGTTCAGTTTACTGCTACTTTACCAATAATTACACCCCACTGTCTGTACCTTTTTCTGAACTAATGTGGATGCAAGAACACAAAACTAACACTCGCATCAACAGGGTTTATTGCGTGACGTTTGACTGTTTACAGTTTATACGCGGAGCCATGGCCTTGGAACGAATGGTGACGAGTCGGTGACGAGTCGATAACGAGTTGAAGCGTCGACCAGTTGATGGGGTTAACTACAATAAACAATAGCTTTCTGTAAATTCAGAAAATAATTACCAATTTTCCTAGTATTTAACACATTCAAAACTACATCCAAATGAAGCAATAAATACATTGACTACATTGAAATTATGCAAAATTACCAAGCACACATTTGCAAATATAATGTAATAGTTGTGTGAAATATCTAAACAATTTTGCACTAAATTAATATACTACTCAAAAGAAGTTAAGGGTCAAATAATTTATTGTCTGTAAAATTTCAGATTTCATATGCTTGTGTTAATAAAAGACACAGTAACAGTTGCCAATCACTGCTGCACAAGAGCGGCAAAATCATTCAACAGTGGCGACATCGGTACAAACGGCCGACCACTTGTGAATAACAGGGGGTCAAAAACACACGTCACACAGAGTAATGCCATGTCAATAGCGAGTAAAACCGCCCCTTGCGCCTAAGCATGCAACACATCGTTGTCGCATACTGTCAATTAAGCGTTGAAAGAACTGTTGGGGGATAGCCTGCCACTCTGCTTGAAGGAATTGTGTCAGTTCTTGCAGATTTACAGGTTGACGTTAATTGTTTGCCACACGTCTACCCAACTCGTCCCAGGCATGTTCAAGCGGTGCCAAATCTGGTGAGTACGCTGGCCAATCCATTCGTTGCACACCGTTTTGTGCCAAGAAATCAGCTACCACCCGAGCACGATGAGGTCTGGCATTGTCGTCCTGCAAAATGGCGCCACGTCAAATTTGACGAAGTGCAGGAAGAACAAGGGGTTGAATAATCTCGTCCCTTTACCGGATTCCTGTCACATTACCCTGAACGACGTAGAGAGGTGTCTGACGTTGACGTCGGCAAACCGTTCCCCAGGACGACGATAGACACGAATCCTGGCATCGTTGAACTGCAGCGCAAACCGGGATTCGTCTGTGAAGAGCACTCTCTGCCAGTCAGGACGTGTCCAGCGTCTGTGACGTCTACACCAGTCTGCACGTGCTCTACGATGATGTTGCAGAAGAGGTGGCCGAACTGCTTGGTGCCGTGGCCGTGACCGCATGTTGTTTGCCGGTTACGGATTGTCTGGTCAGACACTTGGGTTCCTGTTGCAAGGCGCAGTTCATCTCTAAGATGTCTTGCTGTGACATTTCGTTGACGCAATGCCAGGTTTGTGACATACCGGTCTTCACGTTGTGAAGTTGACCTGGGTCTTCCAGAACGAGGGCGATTCTGAATGGAATTGGCCACTTGAAATCTCTGCCACAGTCTACCAATCACAATTTGGCTACAACCGATTCTCTGGGCAACATTTCTCTGACTCAGACCGTCCTGAAGCCATGCAATGGCTCTTCCACGATCAACAAGGCTTAGCTGACGTCGATTCATGTTCAACATTCAAGTCGGATGAAACATGTGACTTGTACAGAATCGTTCGCGGAATTTAAGCAAAAAACGGCACATGATGCACGTGCATTTCATTAATGATGAGGCAAGGATGAGTAAATGTTGTGTTCGATCGCCGTGATCGACGTCACTGGATGTGAGTTTTTGTTAGATTTTGACATTTCTCAAAGCACCCGATGCACCCAGAAACTCGTTCAATCTCCATGATTTGCACACGATCCTTCAATTTGATTCGCGTGTCTTCAATTCTTTTCAAAACATTTCTCAAAATACAACCAACTGGGTGTACTCAATGATTTACATTTTCATACTTTCGAAATGGTGTGACCCCTAACTTCCTTTGAGTAGTATATTTTGTCATATGTACAATTTCAGGGTGTTCAGAAATAAACATAAAACCAAACAATGAAAGGGAAAGGTACTCACATGTGTCTCTACATAGTTCAAATATAGCAGGCAGTAAGGTGAGAACCTGGCAGCATGGAGGTCCAATACACACTGGTGAGCATGTGCTTCCAAATGCATGAGCTTTGAAGAGGTCGTGGCGTGACCTGTGAGCTTTGACATTGCACATGAAGGTTAAGGTCACGGGGCAGTGGAGCGTTACTGAGAACATGTAAACATTGTATACGCGTATCTTAGAACTGGTAATTATTACCTGGAAATTGAACTTTAGAACATTAGTGTAATAATAAAGTGTCTTAATCATTGGACCATCATCGATGAATAGTTAAATCAATTGTAATGATTTTAACTTGATTTCATGTCATTTTACAAGCACTTCATACTTTGAAACATTAGGAAATCTTGCATCTAAAATTACCACACACAGTGAAAACGTTAGACTTTACCGCATATGAAGTGAAAACGTTAAACGTTACCGCACAGAGTGAAAACGTTAAACATTGCCACACACACAGTGAAACCGTTAGACCTTACCGCACATGGAGTGAAAACATTAGACTTAAGCGCACATGGAGTGAAAACGTTAGACTTTAGCGCACATGGAGTGAAAACGTTAGACTTTAGCGCATATGGAGTGAAAACGTTAGACTTTAGCGCATATGGAGTGAAAACATTAGACTTTAGCGCACAGAGTGAAAACGTTAAACATTGCCACACACACAGTGAAACCGTTAGACCTTACCGCACATGGAGTGAAAACGTTAGACTTTAGCGCATATGGAGTGAAAACATTAACACGCTCAGAGTAAAAACTCGGAGACAAATTATATTATTTATAAACACAAACTGTATATGCTCTTAAGATAAATTCTTGCATCTTGGACCACAATTACGCAACCACGGGAATAACGTAGAGCTAATACACAGGAAACTATGGCTGTGTGCTTTTTTTTAATGATGCTGACCTCGTGATAAACAACATTCACGCGACTGTTTTCAGTATATCGGGCGAAACAGTGTGTTATATATGTCAGTTTATCGGGCGATACAGTGTGGTATATGTCAGTACATCTGGCGATACAGTGTGGTATATGTCAGTACATCGGGCGATACAGTGTGGTATATGTCAGTACATCTAGCGATACAGTGTGGTATATGTCAGTACATCTGGCGATACAGTGTGGTATATGTCAGTATATCGCGCGATACAGTGTGGTACATGTCGGTATATCGGCGATACAGTGTGGTACCTGTCGGCATATCGGGCGATACAGTGTGGTATATGTCGGTATATAGGGCGATACAGTGTGGTATCTGTCAGTATATCGGGCGATACAGTGTGGTACCTGTCGGTTTATCGGGCGATACAGTGTGGTATCTGTCGGTATATCGGGCGATACAGTGTGGTATCTGTCAGTATATCGGGCGATACAGTGTGGTACCTGTCGGTTTATCGGGCGATACAGTGTGGTATCTGTCAGTATATCGGGCGATACAGTGTGGTACCTGTCGGTTTATCGGGCGATACAGTGTGGTATCTGTCAGTATATCGGGCGATACAGTGTGGTATCTGTCAGTATATAGGGCGATACAGTGTGGTATCTGTCAGTATATCGCGCGATACAGTGTGGTATATGTCGGTTTATCGGGCGATACAGTGTGGTATCTGTCAGTATATCGGGCGATACAGTGTGGTATATGTCAGTATATCGGGCGATACAGTGTGGTATATGTCGGTATATAGGGCGATACAGTGTGGTATCTGTCAGTATATAGGGCGATACAGTGTGGTATATGTCGGTATATAGGGCGATACAGTGTGGTATCTGTCAGTATATCGGGCGATACAGTGTGGTACCTGTCGGTTTATCGGGCGATACAGTGTGGTATCTGTCGGTATATCGGGCGATAAGGTGTGGTATCTGTCAGTATATCGGGCGATACAGTGTGGTATCTGTCGGTATATCGGGCGATAAGGTGTGGTATCTGTCAGTATATCGGGCGATACAGTGTGGTGTATGTCGGTATATCGGGCGATACAGTGTGGTGTATGTCGGTATATCGGGCGATAAGGTGTGGTATCTGTCAGTATATCGGGCGATACAGTGTGGTGTATGTCGGTATATCGGGCGATACAGTGTGGTGTATGTCGGTATATCGGGCGATAAGGTGTGGTATCTGTCAGTATATCGGGCGATACAGTGTGGTATATGTCGGTATATCGGGCGATACAGTGTGGTATCTGTCAGTATATCGGGCGATACAGTGTGGTATCTGTCAGTATATCTGGCGATACAGTGTGGTATATGTCAGTATATCGGGCGATAAGGTGTGGTATCTGTCGGTATATCGGGCGATACAGTGTGGTATATGTCGGTATATCGGGCGATAAGGTGTGGTATACGAGATTCTACCCATTGTCAGTGTACTGTGACCTAATGTGACCTTCAACCTTCCAGCGCCGCAGAGGCTGCTTGTACGTGCTGTTTACTCCAAAGGGAGCTGAGAATGAAATTCGAGCGCACACTGATCCAGTGACCGGGGCAATGAAAAGATCTATCATGGTTTAAGCGCATTTGAGCGGTTTTAAATTGGAAAGTGCGCATTACAAATTCATGATATAATAATGAAACCGTCCTCCACGCAGAGTGGTCGCTTCTTGCTAACCCATAGTTCAATCACACAGTCCGTGGCAGCTACCTATGTACAAAGTCTACTGCACTTTGTTCTCGTGACCTAAGAAGTTAACAAAAGACCTTTTCTCCTTCTTTTGAACGTTTTGAAACGCTTTTGATTTATGGATTACTGGCCTTCCCCCTAATCCCGAACGATCGCTGTAATCCCCCGTCTATACCCGGCGCCCCATAACGGCACATAGTAACACTGATACGTCGTGCGGAAGGTAGTCTCGCCGCGAGGGCCAGCTGCAGCGAACTTTGTCGGACGGCAGAAAGTAAACAACTGTAAGTGTGGTGTGACAGTCGCTCTGTAAGTGATTGTGAACTGGAATCATCACAGAATGTGACGGCGATGTCCCAAGGAGTAGCCGGAGATAACGACAGAAGTGTTGAAGTGTGTGTTCGTTTCCATTGATGTTGCCGACAGGATGCCATGTTTCGGCTCAATGGACGGGGCACAGATCGATTAATCCAAGTGATCGACACAGATCGATCTGTACATGGTTTTTTTTTATCTGAGTGTTAAACGTGTGATGATATCATCAGAGTTGTGAGCGTCGTTTACTGAGCTGACAACGTGGTGGTCAATTAAAGCGTGGAGTGTGTGTTACCATAGTGATGCCGGTGGGAGTATGTACGCCGAGGGAAGGGCTGGATGCCCTGGAGAAAGGCCTGAAGACGCTTCGACGGTCGCGGGTACGTAGCTCAACTGGTTCAATGGTATATAGTGTGTGTATCTCACATACTTTCATACATAGTATACATGGTGTATGAACATAGTATATAGTGTATGTATCTCACATACTTTCATACATAGTATACATGGTGTATGAACATAGTATATAGTAATAATTAAATAAGTGGAGTAAGATTGAACACAGTTTTAGTGTTATTCAGTTAAATGGCCTGATGAGACTCGTACGTGGTGTGAGTTGAAAGCGCTAGTCAATTAAAACTGTGTTCAATCTTACTCCACTTATTTGATTATTACTATATTGTGCCTGAGAGTTAGAACTTTACTGTGCTTTAGGTATATATATATATATATATATATATATATATATATATATATATATATATATACTCTTAAAAAAAACAACTTGACACTGACTTTCAAAATGTAATATAATGCGATTGTTTCAAAATAGGACACAGAAACCATAATTGAAACACTGTTTGGAGATCAATGTACACAATGTTCAAAACATTAATCGTGTCACCTAGACAGACACACGTACACGATGCAGCTAATGTCACAGGGGTACATACATTGCTATTTGTATATATGTATCATGTTTGGGAGAGGCATTCAGATAAGCAAAATTTGCTTGTTTGCCAATCCCTCCACTTTATGGAAATAAATATGTTTATATCACAGGGGTACAGAAAATGTCAGTATCGGTTGTGCCCACCTCGTGCATCAATCACCGCTTGACACAGATGACCCATAGATGCAATCAAGTAGTCAATAACACGCTGTTGGATGTGCTGCCATTCATGCTGAAGTGCATCAAGAAGCGCCGGAAGTGTTTGGGACGTAAGGCTGTAGGATCAAGTCTCTGTAATGCACACCTGTCAATGCACCTGCCACATGCATGAGAGGCGTCCTACCACCGTGATGAATTCCGGCCCATACCATGACACTCCCGCCGCCAAATGGGACAACCTGCTGCACACAGTTGGGGGCGTAACGTCTGTAGACACGTGCGCACCCATCAGCACGTGTGAGTAGGAAACTGGACTCGTCAGTAAACAGTACATTTCTCCACCTTGCACGTGCCCATCTAACCCTCTGTTGGCACCAAAGCAGACGGTCCGCCAGATGACGTGGGGTCAATACATGACGTCGAACAGGTCTTCGTGCAAAAAGTCCAGCCTCCCTCAGTCTGTTGCGTACCGTTTGATCTGATATTCTGCGTACCCCAGGGATCTGTGCGGTTGTAGCCATGGCTGTGATAGTGCGGTCTCGGAGGTGTCGCAGCCGGATGTATCGATCTTGTGCTTGGGTTGTCACCCTTGGTCTTCCTGACCTTGGTTTGTCGTCAAATCTGTTGGTGTTGTTGTATCGGGTCCACAGTGCGGAGATTGTCTGTCTGGATATGCCAAAGTGCCTGGCCACTTCTTGCTGAGTTGCTCCAGCTTGTAATCTCCCAATGGCGTTGTTCCGTTGAGCTGCATTCAGTCTTGGCATTCTGTCACCGCCTCAACTGCCACATCATCTTTCTGTTTGACTTACATGTATTTGGTTCTCATTAAATGTAATTATTTTAGATATTTGGCAAAAAGTGGTTTTACATCTATGTCAAGTTTCTTTTTTTGAAGAGTATATATATATATATTTACATATGTATTTATGTAAATATATTTAGTTTAGGTATATATATAATACCTACATACGCTCTTTAATAAACATATTACTGATTGCCCTCGTCATGGTTGAGGTATAAATGTTTTAAATGATTAGAACATTATTTTTTATTTATATGTGTGCACATCTGATAATGTCATTGGCACAACTAGGTCGGAAAGTTGTTCATCAAGGAAATAAAATGCTGTGCTGCCCACAGAAAAAACATAGAAATAACATCAGTCAGGTCATCACTAGGTTGTCATCAGTCAGGTCATCACTAGGTGTCAACATCATCAGTCAGGTCATCACTGGGTGTCAACATCATCAGTCAGGTCATCACTAGGTTGTCATCAGTCAGGTCATCACTAGGTGTCAACATCATCAGTCAGGTCATCACTGGGTGTCAACATCATCAGTCAGGTCATCACTAGGTGTCAACATCATCAGTCAGGTCATCACTAGGCGTCAACATCAGTCAGGTCATCACTAGGTGTCAACATCATCAGTCAGGTCATCACTAGGTGTCAACATCATCAGTCAGGTCATCACTAGGTGTCAACATCATCAGTCAGGTCATCACTGGGTGTCAACATCATCAGTCAGGTCTTCACTGGGTGTCCACATCATCAGTCAGGCCAACACTAGGTGTCAACATCATCAGTCAGGTCATCACTAGGTGTCAACATCATCAGTCAGGTCATCACTAGGCGTCAACATCAGTCAGGTCATCACTAGGTGTCAACATCATCAGTCAGGTCATCACTAGGTGTCAACATCATCAGTCAGGTCATCACTAGGTGTCAACATCATCAGTCAGGTCATCACTGGGTGTCAACATCATCAGTCAGGTCTTCACTGGGTGTCCACATCATCAGTCAGGCCAACACTAGGTGTCAACATCATCAGTCAGGTCATCACTAGGTGTCAACATTATCAGTCAGGCCATCACTAGGTGTCAACATCATCAGTCAGGTCATCACTAGGTGTCAACATCATCAGTCAGGTCATCACTAGGTGTCGACATCATCAGTCGGGTCATCACTAGGTGTCAACATCATCAGTCAGGTCATCACTGGGTGTCAACATCATCAGTCAAGTCATCACTGGGTGTCAACATCACCAGTCAGGTCATCACTAGGTGTCAACATCATCAGTCAGGTCATCACTAGGTGTCAACATCATCAGTCAGGTCATCACTAGGTGTCAACATCATCAGTCGGGTCATCACTGGGTGTCAACATCACCAGTCAGGTCATCACTGGGTGTCAACATCATCAGTCAGGTTATCACTAGGCATCAACATCATCAGTCAGGTCATCACTAGGTGTCACAACATCAGTCAGGTCATCACTGGGTGTCAACATCACCAGCCAGGTCATCAATGGGTGTCAACATCATCAGTCAGGTCATCACTAGGTGTCAACATCATCAGTCAGGTCATCACTGGGTGTCAACATCATCAGTCGGGTCATCACTGGGTGTCACAACATCAGTCAGGTCATCACTAGGTGTCAACATCATCAGTCAGGTCATCACTAGGTGTCAACATCATCAGTCGGGTCATCACTAGGTGTCAACATCACCAGTCAGGTCATCACTGGTCGTCAACATCATCAGTCAGGTTATCACTAGGTGTCAACATCACCAGTCAGGTCATCACTAGGTGTCAACATCATAAGTCAGGTGATCACTGGGTGTCAACATCATCAGTCAGGCCATCACTAGGTGTCCACATCCCCTTTGGGATTCAAGGGTAGAACTGGTTATGGTTTTTGACTGAAGTTGTCAGGCTCAGATTTGGCTGGTATGCCACAGGGTCAAATATTGTTGCTGATGCTTTCAGTCAATGGTTTGATAAATCGTAAATTCTGGCTTGATTATATGAAGGCTGCCATGATACTACTGGAATATTGCTGATTCTGATGTTAGGCCACATTCACCTGACTCATGCCAATATGTTGAAGTGTGATGTATAAGGTGTACCTATTGTCAGGTGTACCTGATATCCCTTGTGTAGAACAATATTCCTGATATCCCTTGTGTAGTACAATATTCCTGATATCCCTTGTGTAGTACAATATTCCTGATATCCCTTGTGTAGAACAATATTCCTGATATCCCTTGTGTAGTACAATATTCCTGATATCCCTTGTGTAGTACAATATTCCTGATATCCCTTGTGTAGAACAATATTCCTGATATCCCTTGTGTGGTATAATATTCCTGATATCCCTTGTGTGGTAGAATATTCCTGATATCCCTTGTGTAGTACAATATTCCTGATATCCCTTGTGTAGTACAATATTCCTGATATCCCTTGTGTAGAACAATATTCCTGATATCCCTTGTGTAGAACAATATTCCTGATATCCCTTGTGTGGTATAATATTCCTGATATCCCTTGTGTGGTAGAATATTCCTGATATCCCTAGTGTAGTACAATATTCCTGATATCCCTTGTGTAGTACAATATTCCTGATATCCCTTGTGTAGTACAATATTCCTGATATCCCTTGTGTAGTACAATATTCCTGATATCCCTTGTGTAGTACAATATTCCTGATATCCCTTGTGTAGAACAATATTCCTGATATCCCTTGTGTAGTACAATATTCCTGATATCCCTTGTGTAGTACAATATTCCTGATATCCCTTGTGTAGTACAATATTCCTGATATCCCTTGTGTAGTACAATATTCCTGATATCCCTTGTGTAGTACAATATTCCTGATATCCCTTGTGTAGAACAATATTCCTGATATCCCTTGTGTAGTACAATATTCCTGATATCCCTTGTGTAGAACAATATTCCTGATATCCCTTGTGTAGAACAATATTCCTGATATCCCTTGTGTAGTACAATAATCCTGATATCTCTTGTGTGGTACAATATTCCTGATATCCCTTGTGTAGTTCAATATACCTGATATCCCTTGTGTAGAACAATATTCCTGATATCCCTTGTGTAGAACAATATTCCTGATATCTCTTGTGTGGTACAACATTCCTGATATCCCTAGTGTAGTACAATATTCCTGATATCCCTTGTGTAGTACAATATTCCTGATATCCCTTGTGTAGTACAATATTCCTGATATCCCTTGTGTAGAACAATATTCCTGATATCCCTTGTTTAGTACAATATTCCTGATATCCCTTGTGTAGAACAATATTCCTGATATCCCTTGCGTAGTACAATGTTCCTGATATCCCTAGTGTGGTATAATATTCCTGATATCCCTTGTGTGGTACAATATTCCTGATATCTCTTGTGTGGTACAATATTCCTGATATCTCTTTTGTAGAACAATATTCCTGATATCCCTTGTGTAGTACAATATTCCTG